TCTGTTCCAACAAGGGTTTAAATCACTCTTTTCTTATGCTGATGTGTGTGTTCTTGATTTTTCTCCTCCTGCCTCACATTTATTGTAAATGAATTTAAGACTCTCAGCCCCATACTGTAGTGTGACCTGGGTATGATAGTTACCTGCCCTGGGGGAGTTGCTTTTCAGACTCTTGAGCTTACATTGCAGTTCAGAGAGTCTGGAACTTCTCAGCAGCAGAATGCCAGACAGGTGACCAACTGCCAGCCTTTTTCCTCTATTGCAAGAAGCTGCAGGGGTGCATTAGTGCAGAAGACATCTTCCTTGAATGATGTCAGCCCAATAGATAAGAGCTGGCAGTGGACCTGCTTCCTTTCCAGAGCAATCAAGGCTGCAAGTCATCAGGTTGTCATTGTTTTGCAAAGCACAGGAGCTGGCTTCCTTCCACATGCCAGAAATGATGCATGTGGCCAAGGCCACTGTTCTTGGCCTTTGTTAGCTCTTGATCTGCTTACCCTGGATCATTCCAGATCTTTCCCCCTCCTGGAGGAATTCTCTGGAATTTTCTTCAGCCCTGAGTGAGTTTTTCAGCCACTGCAGACATTCACATTTAGGGCCTGTTGTCCATGCAGTATCTATGGAAGTCAGTGTGTGGTTTAATAGGGACTTAAGGGTGGTTGTTTCTGAATCTGGAAAATTAACCCTAATCATACCAGAGAGACAGTATAGGCAGACAGGCTGACTGTGCCATGAACTTTGTGCTTATAATGTCACCTGGGCCAGAAAAAGCTACCTGCCAACCTCCTGACATACCAGACCAAAGTATACCATCAACTATGGGCTATGAGAGCCATAGTCCTAGAAACACTCTTGTGCTTAGCAAGATATATTGCTCTTTCTTGAGTGTAGATTTCTTCCCCTTTCCCCAGTTAAAACGTTCCTTAGTAATCAAGTGGCTCTACAGGAATGCATCTCCCTCAATATCCAGCCTGGCAAAGCTTTGGGACATGGAACACAATGATGTGCTACCACAATACATACAATAAATCCTTATGAGGTGTGGACCGTGACCCCATTGTGCTAGGCACAGTACAAACAGAATAAGTGATGGGAATCCCCTCTCCCATTGAAGGGGCAGACAGAAGTGACAGTTTTTGCCTGATGTGGCCCCTGAAAGCACTCTACAGCTGTGACCAAACAAGTGCACAGGTGCAGAGTGCTTTAAAAGGTCCTGATCCCACAAAAATCTGAACTCTCATTCCATGAGGGTTCAGATGAAGATGCTCCAAAATGGAGTGGCTTCAGTAACTTCTGTCTATGCTGCCTTTCAGCCCCGGTGCTGTTTTTAGAATGTGAAGGGGGAAGGGCAGAAGAGGGAGTTTGGTTTGGGTTTTTTCAGTTGGTACTAGAGGGTGGGGCAGGTGTATAGGAGCCCCCCTGAGATGGTGGGGGGAGCGCTCCAATCTACTGACCCCACCCTCTAGGGGTTCCTTTCTGGGTAACCCCTAGAACTAGCTCCCTCCACTCCCTTTCCCCACTCCCATTCTGAAAACAATGCCAGAGCTGGGGGTGGGGGGGTGCGGCATTGCTAGGGGAGACTGGCCACAGGCTTGCAGCCAGCAGATGGATTCCCCATCCCCAGGACTCAGCAGTGTACTTCTATTGCATCCCATGGATTGCTGTAACTCATGAAGCTTCCTGCAAAGTGCCATGAGTTACAACAGGGGGCTGTGCTGTGGTTTGAGCCTTGAGTGCCTCATCCTGCTATGTTAGTAGTGCCCCTTCTGGCTGGAAGAATAAGCCTTAGGTCACCTCCAAGAGGAAGGGGATAGCTGTGGAATAGGAAATAGACAATGAAGGAGGAGGGCTCAAGTCTCAGGAGACCTGTCTTGGAGCTGTGAGGAAGGTCTGAAGTTGTAGAACAAATCAAACCTTACATCCCATATCACAAAGGAATGCAAGTCTTTCCTCATGGCAGACTGGGGTCTGTGTGTGCTCTAAATGCTGATGGCTTCCTGTACACTATTGCAATGCAGGGGAGGTGGGGACACAACATTTTTGGCAGGCTACAAATTAGCCCTGTACCCTCTATGAGTGCCACTCCATAGATTCATAGATGTTAGGGTCAGAAGGGACCTCAATAGTTCATTGAGTCCGATCACCTTGGCCACTCGAACTGTGAAGAAGTTCTTCCTAATGTCCAGTCTAAATCTGCTCTCTGCTAGCTTGTGGCCATTATTTCTTGTAACCCCCGGGAGCGCCCTGGTGAATAAAACCTCACCAAATCCCTTCTGTGCCCCTGTGATGAACTTATAGGCAGCCACAAGGTCGCCTCTCAACCTTCTCTTGCAGAGGCTGAAAAGGTCCAGGTTCTCTAGTCTCTCCTTGTAGGGCTTGGTCTGCAAGCCCTTAACCATACGAGTCGCCCTTCTCTGGA